CAGTCCCCATGTGTTGACTCTAAGGAAACATTTCCCAGAAGATTTCGCTTCAAGGATTCTGGTCTTCTATTAATCACAGCTGACTTTTCCGTGCCCAGCTAACCACCATCAATTGTCCCATTAAAGCAAAGGTTTCACTTCAGTGCTGCTCGTCTCTTACTAATCACAGCTGATCTTCAACCCCAGCTGACCAGAAACCAGATTCTTAATTCAAATATATCACATATCTAGCCATGGTAGATGTTAGTTATTTGGCCGCATTGTTTTCTTACCCTGCAAGGAAATGTCACGAAACACAACAGAATCCGCTTATAAGAGTTTTATTAGAGATAAAGGGATAGAGAGTGCGCAGGCCTGTGGGAGAGACACGTGTGTGGAGAAAAAGAAGGAAGCGGGAACATGGCGCTCAGTTTTTCAACCGGCTGGGTGTGGCCAGGTCACATCACTACTCCACGCATGTGTGTAGATCACATGGTCACATTGCGCGCTTACGTAGCCATGAAATGTCACGGATCCTGGTTACGAGAGACGCCTTGACCCGGAAATGCCTATCCTGACCTGGAATTGGGTAGGCAGAAGTGTCCGCCTGGTATATGCGACCGTGGGGGCGTGTTGTGAACCCTTCAGTAGAGCTTTGCAGGCCTCTCAAACATCCCTCTGAAACTTCATAAGCCAGGCTTCCAATCGTCTGCATTGTTCTCAGCATTATCTTCCAAGTTCCAACAGAACAGCCAATCAAGCTCCTCTGAGTAATCAATGGATTTTTTACACAAACCTCTAAAATCTTTCCACAACCTCCTTGCAAAATACATAGTTCAATCACAACATGACCACATTTTAAGTACCAATGTCTGTATTAATCTGGAATGTTGCTAAGATAAAACATTGTCAGGAGGAAACGATTTATTTCAGCTTTAAGGTTAAATAGTATTCATCATCAAGGAAAGCCAGGGCAGAAACTTGAAAACAGAAAATGAAGAAACCGTGGAGGAATACCACGTACCAGCTTTTCTCCATTGTTAGCTCAGCCAGTTATACAACCTAGGACCACCCACCTAGGTATGGTGCTTTCCACACTGGGCTGAGCCCTCCCACATCAATTACTAATCAGGAAAGTGTCCCACAGACACGCCCACAGGCCAATTTGATGAAGGCAATGTCTCAGTTGAGCGTCTCTCTTCCCAGATGAGTCTAGTTTGTGTCCAGTTGACAAAAACTAACCAGCACATGCAGCCATGGGCCTCTGCATTTGACAATGCTAATTGCAACGACAGACATCTCTGATTAAGGCTGAAAGTAGCATCCATCCATGGGAACAAACATAACTAATTCCAAGGCAGTTTGCTGGGCTGCATTTACATAGTCCTGATTAGGCAGACATGGAACCAATTTATTCAAATTTATGGTCTATTTTTATTAGAAAAATGGGGGGAAGGGAATCAAGAATTTGTGGTCTAAGACCGCTAAAATCTAATCAGGCTTTCAAGCGGTCCCAGTGGCCTAAATCAGGAGTCTATCTGCTGGGTTTTTCATTTTAAGGTCTGTAACGGGAATGACTGGGAGAATGCAATTCCTGAAGCTCTGGGGCTACAGTTCCCTTTCCCTGGATGGTAGCACAGACTTTAATCCTTCTCCAGCTTCAAGCCAGCCATGCACACAAAGTCCTTCTTGTGCTTAGAATCTGATTTCTCTCTTCCTTCCTCCTCTATCACTACCTGGAGAAAATTTTCTAATTTTAATGTCTTTTGAAATTGGATAGACCCATCTAGATAATCTCCCTTCCTTAAAGACCAACGTTCAGTGAAAAAGTAATACGTCGGCAGATATGTACCCCTCGATCTGCAGGGGGAGTAAGGAATGCTCACTGCTGGACATTATTTTGTCAATTTAAAAAATTTACCTAGTAGACCCCGGCTAGGGAAATGGGCAAGGTATAACAAGCCTGCAGTGTCGGAAAGATGGCACAGTAGCACGAGGCCCAGACCAGACTGAACCCAGGAAACCCCAGACAGGTTCTGCTGTGCGAGAAATAACATGTAGATGGATTTCTGCATATGGAGACTTTTAGAACACTTAATCACAGGGTTGTGAGAACACAGAAAACAAGTCAAAGGAGAAGGAAAAAATATCTGAAAGGACAAACAAGCTTAACAGGAAATGAAATATACAATCAGGGCACAGATCTCACTGAACAATGGACCACATTTACAAAATCACTATTAGGTAGACATCCGGCACTGATTTAACAGAAATTATAGCTTATTTCAAAAACAGAAGGTAAAGGGGCATTTGTGCTATAAGACTGCTAAACTTTAATCTTCTATAACATGAGGAAAGTAGAAATTGGCAAACGAAAATGTCTGATTTAGAAATATATGCATAAAAGACAAAAGCTAAAAGAACTTAACAATATGTGCCAAAAACAAAAACAAAAACAAAAACCTTAAAAGACCTGAACAATTGATGATAAAGTGGGCAGACGTCTTCTCCTTTCTCATTCTTCAATTTATATATTTGAAAATTCAGGGTGTACAAATGCATTAACTCCCTGAGGTACAAATTATTAAAAAGAAAATATAGTAATATTTATTGAATCAGTCTGTTTCAACAGATGGTCAAATATATCTAACTTTATCTAAACAAGAAGATTTTTTTTACTCCATCTTAAGAAATTGCATTAAATTTGCCAATTTTGTCTTATTAACTTTCTCTACTTTAATTGTGATTCAAATAATTTAATGTCACAACAATGAAATTGCCTGGTTTTTTGTTTGTTTGTTTGTTTTTGTTTTTTCTTTTTCTTTTTTATAGTCATGCAGCTTTCAAAAGGCTGGGGCAGGAGATGGTTAGCCTCCCCATTGCCTCAGAACTATGGAATAAACAGGCTACAAAAGTGTAATGACGGTAATGTGAAATGGTTACCAAGCCTTCAAAGCAAAAGAAAAGGCCTTTTGGAGGCTCAGTTTTTAAAGTAAAATATTTTCAGAATTACACACATCCTGAGCACTAAATGCCAACTTTCCTAATCTTCTATAAATAATAATGAACAGAGATTCTTTACTTCATTGCTTCAGAAAGGCAACTCCGGATTTGTTGATTAGAGTACTAATGTACTCCTCTGTCGGAACATAGTCCAAGAATGGAGTCCTGTGAGGAGAATTCTGAGTGTGAGAAAACAAGACAGAGTCTTGTGACCTCAGTCTCTTCAAAATACAGACTTGTTCTTGGAGTGTGGTTTTGTGTGCTGCCTAGGTGCATCACTCCCAGGCAGAAGTGACTTTACTCAGGCTGCTGTTATTTGTGTGCCTCGATGGAGAAGTGTGTTTTTGCCACATGTGGCTTGTCCTTGTGATTGAACACCTTACTTATGTGACTCTGCTTAGCCCTCAGAGTATAAATTGCCTGATGCTGGGAATAAAGTTGGCTATTGCATGATACTTTAGTCTACCTCATTTTTAGGCCCTGTTCTCCCAGGTTCATGCTGCCAACTACAGCTGTAACTCTAAGGGAATAGTATAGGGTCAGGACCCTGCCAAGACCAGGTTCTCAGCACAAAGGAGATTTATTTTCACAGAGGGACCAAGGGTGGGAATAAGAGACAAAGATGGGAGATAGAGGACAAGAGAGAAGGGGAAGGGACAAAGGAGAGGGGCAGAGGTGTTTGTCCTGGGGTGAAGAGGACAAAAGGACTGTCTCTGGATAGAGAGGAGACAGAGGTGGCCCATGGGAATATGGAGGTTATAAAGGTAAAAGAGAAAACCCCATGTTATGATGAGGTGTTTAATTTTAATTGGGCATGTTAATTAGGTAAGCCAAAGGCGGTTTTGGATTGTTTGACTTCAGTACTTTGATGGCTGGACCTTGGTAGTCAGACTCAGAAGGAGGAAGTGTCCAAACAAGGAAATAGACATTGATGACTTAGCTGTGATCTAACAGTTTTGTGATCTAACAGTTTTTAACAAGGCAGAGGGAAGGGGGGAGAGGGCAAGGCCTGCCAGAGCCATATTTGCCATGCTAGAGCTGGCCAGAGTCCCTTCACACTTCACTGTTAACAACACCACATGCCTTGCTGAGATCTACATCTGGTCAATGAATGAGAACCAATTTACATTATGGGAAGCATCAGCCTCTGCTCCTCCTCACCAAGTGACTGATGACAGCCCTCACCATTTTCCATTGATTGGAAATTCCCCATCTGGATCTTCTTTGTTATGTTCTAGAGTTCTCTTGCATGTTCTCGCCTGTTTGTGACCTGCATTACAGGCACTAACCTAATCCAAGATGACGACTCAGCAGAGCTCCCTCACTGTGGGAATGCCTGGCTGGTGTTGCCGATGCCGGTTTCTCCAATTTTAGAGTTTTCTGTACTCTTTTAAAACTTTGTTCATTCTTTGAAATCATTTTGTATGTAATTATGACATTTTATACATATCACAATGAAATTTTGCCTAAAGAATTATTCACTAATTTTGCATTTCTCTTATATATCTTCCTATATCATTTTATTTATTCTTTGAGAATTTCATACATGTATGCAGTGTTCTTTGATCAAATCCGTGACCTCTTTCCTTCTCAACTTCCTCTGGAACCACCAATCATGTCTTATTGCTAATTTCATGCACTCTTTTATTTTGTTTTGTTTTGTTTTTTCAAAACTCACTGAGCCCAATTAGTGCTGCCAAACTATGTGTGGGTGTAGGGCCATCCACAGCAGCATGGGAAATCTGCCAGTGGCCACATCTCAGACTCAGAAAAATACTGACTCTCCCTCCCCTAACAGCCATTAAAAAACCATAGACTTCTCAACTAGCATGGGGCTTCTTGATCCCCTAATCCATTTGGTGGTATCTTATGAAGGAATATGGTAGCATAGATTTTCCCGAATTTATGTAGGAAAATGAAATATAATTATATATAGCTACTTTAATAAATGCATATTTAATAAGTACATATCCAGCTAACTTAAAAATATTTATTGGTACTCTTTTATATTAAGCTCAACATGGATTAATATTCTACAGGCTAGAGCCTTAAAAGACACTGAGCTGAAATGAAAACAATTGAGAAATCAACTTGACTACAGCTTCTGAGGCAATTGCTACTAAGAGTTACTAGGTGGAAGGAGCACCTGAAGATGAAAACCCCAGGTGTGTGAGTGTGTTAGAGATAGCTTTCTGAAAAGGTCAGTGTCTGAGTCTATCACCATTTTCAAGAAAAGTGTTCTTAATTTAGAAAGAAAAAAATATAACTCCCTTCATCTGTAGTTACCATCTTCCTGAGTCCTACAGAATTTTATTTTTATTCTTTAATTTTTTTTTGGTTTTTTGAGACAGGGTTTCTCTGCATAGTTTTGGTGACTGTCCTGGATCTCATTCTGTAGACCAGGCTGTCCTTGAACTCACAGAGATCTGCCTGGCTCTGCTCCCGAGTGCTGGGATTAGAGGCGCGCGCCACCACTGCCCAGCTCCATAGAATTGTTAATCCAAAATTCTTACTATTGTCTATCTTCACATGGCATCTCATTTAACTCCAGATGCTTAGACATTTGTGAAGAGATTTATGGCATCTTGCCGAGTTCCAGATTCTTGGACATTTGTGACAGGATTGTTGAATATTTGTGAAGAGATTGCTTACTATAGGAAACACTTGTATTTCAATCACAACTCAGCTACTTTGAAGAATGAGATGTGTTTGATGATTCTTATGAGCCTGTTCAAAGCAGTATTTTCTTTTTATAAGTGAGTTTAATTGTTTACCTTAGTACTATGGTTTGGATTCAGTTTCTCCCAAGAGTCCATGTGTTGGAGGTTTTAGTCCTCAGCATGGAGATGGGTATTAAGGCAATGCTGTTTTCAACAGGCAGGCCTAGTTGCAAGCCTTTGGGTTGCTGAAGTCATGCCCCCAGAAAGCATCAGTGAGGTTCTTGAGTGACTGTTCTCCAGGGCTCGGTAGAGGGTTGTTACCAGTCTGAGCTGGGCTCCACGCAGATTTCTCTGGCTTCTTGACATGTCATCACCTTCTGTCAAATGTCATCAGACATCATAGCATGATGCAGCCAAGAGGACCTCCACCAGAACTGAGCCAGTGAGATGCCATGTCTTTTGCCTGTCAGGTACCAAACCTATAAGCAAAACAAATCTATTTTCTTTACAAAGTTATGGTGCCTCAGATGTTTAATTGTACGACAAGAACCAGAAGCATAAATCAAAAACAGATGGGTAAGTTTGGTATAGCAATAAGCCGTAAACTTGCTTCATTATGTTTGTTTGATTCTGTCAACAGTACAGAATGACACAACTGTAGGAAAGAGGGATCTAATTCTCTTATCTGTGGAGGGCCTAGTACAAAGTTGGGGAAAAAAATGCTATCTTTGAGATAATCAAATTTTTGATGTGTAAATGCAAATGGAAATTTCTAAATTACTTCTTATTTTAGAGATACCTACAGAGATAACATTTACCAAATTATAAGATACCCTAAGTTTATCCTCCAAAGGCTGAGTATTCTGCCTAATGGTGTCTGTCAAAACAACTTGGTGTAGCTCACTGGAAAGGAAAACTAGGATTTATCTTGTTACAAACAAGCACAACGCGTAGCAAGAAAGTTTCCTTTTGTTTTTGTAAAATGAGTCAAAAATAAGAGAGAAATGGAAGAAGCCCATTGCCTGGCTTAGCAATCTCACAATAAATGTCACAACAGTGGAAGGTAGACACTAAGACCTAGTTAAAGAATCTATTCCTATTTTACCAAATTTAACTTAGACTTTATTTCCATACACCTCCACATAACTGTCCTCACCTCAGACCAGTGTATGGATGAGAGTGAGAAGAGCAAAAACTCTAAAGCTTCAGAATAGTATCTGTTAAAGGCCTCGAAAATTCTCCCCGTATGAAAACTAAGACATCCTTTGGAAAGGTATGGATGCTTATCATGGCAGTAATAGCTTGGGTACAACTGGGCCATGGTTCTTTGGAAGTGCTAATAACCTGTGAGAGGGCAGGAGTGTAGGATGGGATGAAATGGGGCAGAGGCAAATCCCAAGAAATAACTAGAAGTAAAATGCAAAAGCAGGGCACAGATTCTTTTGAAGACTCCTGAGGCCACCTAAGGCTAAGGCTTAGACTGAACACCATGTCCAGCTGCATCACATAGTAGAAGGGAAGAATCCATAGCAAGGAGAAGAGTTATGATAGAAGACACCACGGGACTAAAAGCATACAGATGTATGGCATGGTTACACTTGATGATGTTGTGTGTCTGGGGTTTACCAGTCTGACTCAAGTTTTGGTTTTAGTAAATTAGAGGCTTTTCATTAAAAAGAGCCAGGACCAAACCAGAGAGAATACTCTATGCACAGCCCCAGCTATTGTTAGTCAAACAATTAATAAGGCAAAAACCACAAAGCTATAATTTTGGGGAGCACAATTAAGTCATATCCTGTATGGGTACAGGCAAGGCTTGATTTTGTAACAGGCATCCAGCAGGTGCCTCAGTCATCCAAGCAAGCCAACATTTCATACAAATGCAGAATTTAGCAGTTAGCCTGTTTAATCTTGTGACCCACTATCTTGTAGGAGTAGCTGAAAGAGGGAAGTATTTTGCAACAATCAGCAATTTTTTAAGAATAGCCCAACTTCACCAGGAAGTGCTCCATCTCAGGCCAGCTGACAGGGTTCATTCAAGGCAGGAGCAACTTCCTCATAGCCTTATACAATCTGAAAACAATTTTGTTTTCATAAGCCTAGCACAGTAACTTTATCTTCCAAACACAATGTTCACCATCACACAAGAAATTCTCAAGCTGATCTAAGATGAATTAAGCTACTATAGAGCTCTACCATTAAGAAATTCAGCCGGGCGGTGGTGGCGCACGCCTTTAATCCCAGCACTCGGGAGGCAGAGCCAGGCGAATCTCTGTGAGTTCGAGGCCAGCCTGGGCTACCAAGTGAGTCCCAGGAAAGGCGCAAAGCTACACAGAGAAACCCTGTCTCAAAAAACCAAAAAAAAAAAAAAAAAGAAAAAAGAAAAAAAAAAAAAAAAAAGAAATTCAAGAGCAACAGCAAGGTCTTTTAAATAGGTTAACTGTAATGTCCTTCTTTAACTTGTGTTGAAGATGTAATGCTAAAGTTATATATATATATATATATATATATATATATATATATATGACATGGCATGTCTTTTTGCTAAGTTATATAAGACAAATTGGTCATGTACAGTTTTTAGCATCCTGGTAGGTACCCTCAAACAAAGAGAAGTAAATGAAGTCTCTGTGTATCTTCCCAGCATCTCCCTATAAGATCTAAATTTTGTTATTTTTTATCTGAAGGATATATATCATTCCTACAGCATGTTCTGTTAACTGAGCAGTAGGTACTTTACTGTTTACTAATTTGGGGATGCCCTGAGCACACCCTACAGAAGATTCCTTTGAAATGATGTTAATAACATTTAAATACTCAGTATTCAACTTTTAAACATAATTAGACAGAGAATTATTTTAGTGGGTGCCATTGTAATTGGTACATAAGTCTGGGCTTATGTGGGTTCCACAAAAGGGAAAGACCTGTTCCTTATGAATCAAAATGTCTTAAACACCACCAATTTGCCTAATAATAGCCACCTTAAGATGTATTCTTCTGATTTAGAAAACACTTGTCAGTGAAAAAATCTCTGAAATACTTATGGTGGCTTATGATTGAGTACAGCTCTCTAGTCAATTGTAGCTTAAGATGGCAACAGATCCAAGCACACAGAGTTTAACACAGATTGCCATTGTGTGACACTATTCCAAGGAAGAAGTAAACAATATGGCAGGATTATAGGGATATGTCTGTAAAATTCCTGTCTGGCCTGGAATTTGGTATGTAGACCAAGATGATCCCAAACTAAGAAACCCACCTGCTTCTGCCTCCCAAACAATAGGTGTTATCTGACACTATTCCTGAAGAGACAAGAATAAACATTACTCACTTCAGAGAGGGTCCCAATGACAGACCAATGTAACGATGGACAGATACCACTAAAGTACAACTTGGTGAACCAGTCAATGGCTTTATTGTGGGTATTTACAGAAGTGTGGGGGAGGGGTTACTTAGAGAAGAAAAAAAATTCAAAGACAGCTGTATCACCAAAGCCTAAGCTGGCATGGTTGAGAGCTCATAAAAACTGGAAACCTGCAGTGCAGAGCACGTCCTGCAGGCAACTCAGCAGGAAAGTGTTCCTTCCAAGTTGGTTTTAGCTATTTCTAGGAAGTTCAGCTGGCCTCTAATTTTTCTAGGCAGCTCATCTGACTTTGCAGTCTGAACCTCTGCTAGGCAGCTCAACTTGTCTAAGAGGCTCTCATCAGTTTTTCAGTTATCTATGTTGGCAAAGGGGGGGCCTAGTGAATCGGGTCAGTTTCAGGGACTTCCTGAAGGTATCATGAGTTGTTTACTTCCTGGGCGTAAATGAGCTTCTTTAAAGGATAGAATGTTTCACCTTCCCTAGAACAGCCTGATGTTTCACCTCTCTGTAAACATCCTCTTTTAATGAACTTCCCTCCAGGATGGAAAGTTTTAAAGTCAGAGGAAACGACATCATAGCAACCAAATTTCTTCTGAAAGGAAATAGCAGAAATTATTATTCTTAGACATCAAAGAAAGTGCTAAGGAGCAGAGTTAAGGCAAAAGTAGAACAGTGCAGATTATGGAGAATCAAAAGAAATTTCGTGATCTTTTCAGCTGCCCATCATCATCAAATCTGCTTGAGTGCTGCAGGAACTGATGCCCAAACATCAGAACAGATAAGGAGGATGAAACTCTTCACATTCCACTTGTCTTTTAATTGAATGTGGCAACTGAATGCAAGGTATGTGTAAACTGTCCTTACATAGCTGAAAAACTGCTGTTCTGAATACAGTGCCTTTGTTAACACAACTCTAAGTCTTGGCAAAAGTGTTCATGCTGCTTCTCAGGGCTTTACATTGCAGTGTCTAGGACCTAGGATTTCTGCAAAGGAGCTATGTATCTTCTTCTACAGAACTCGCACACATGCTCTAGTTTGTCCTGGGAGGTTTCTTTCCATTCTTTCCCTAATTAATCTCTAGTCTTCCTTCATATATTAGGGTTGTTGTTGTTTTGGCATCTTAAGTTTATATTCAAAAAATAAATTATAATATTAACAGATATGAAAATCAAAATTGCTCATCACAAACTGCAATAAAAAACCACCATCACAATGAGTGCAAAAGAGAGCCACAATCATTATTTGTCCTCATTATTCTAGTGGTTTTGAGTCAGGAGGCCCAGCTCTGAAGAGTTATGTATTCTTTGACAAATTGTTGGGACTACCTGGGCATCACTACTCTGAATAGAATGCAAGACAAGAGCCTCTCTCTGGAGACCCAACCTCCCAGGAGCTTCTTGATCAGTGATGACTTTTTTGTTGTTGTTCTGTGGCCACTGACAGTGCTTAAGATAGAGCTCAACTCCACAAGGAAAATATACAACCAGACTCTACAGGTACTGGTGAAAAATAATTTCCATTGTGCCAAGATTCTGGACCCCAAAGACTACCAAGAGACCAAATCGGATGCAAAAGCAAAGAATCTTTTTATTGTGAGTTAACTCATGCCTCTCCATCCACCTGACGTAGCAGCAGAACAGGAGAGACCCGAGTAGAAATGGGGCAGGGTTTTTATAGGGGGTAAAGCAAGCAGGAGTCTTGGGGGTCTTCAGACTACATAGGAACAGACTCAAAATTGGTTTATGGGAGTGGCAATCATGTAAGTAACTTTTAATTGGCAAGGGTTAGTTGAAGATTTGTCAGGGCTATAGTTAGTTACCTGTTTTAGGTCAGGCCAGGACAAGTCCCAGGCTTTGTCCTTGAGCTGCTGTGGAGACTGGCTGGCCTAGCACATATTGACTGTGGGGGCTGGCTCAGTGGCCCAGGCTTGGTGCATCCTATCTCCCTGTCTCTGCTGACAGGGGCATCAATGATTAATTGTCTTTTGTTCATGGCCCTCCCAGAAACTGCTTGCTCAGTCTCACGAAACTAAAATTGAGACCTGATCTCTGAAAGAAGACTGCGTAGCCCTTTATGGCATCTGTTTGGTCCTCTCAATTTTTAGGGTTTCTGAGAAGTTCATGAGATTTTTGTTTCTGGCACTGGTGTTTTGAAAGGACTGAATTCTAAAGAGGAGTTTTTTTTTCCTATCCTTCCTGATGCCTATTAGTGCTTGTCCCCATTTTAAAGGAATGCTTCCTCCAAAGCCTTGTAACTGTGTCATATACCCCACTCTAGAGGATCATAATAAATTTTCTTCTTTGCTGCTCTCATGACAGCTGAAAGTTGAAGTTGTAAGTTTTATCTAATGATTTTTTTTTTTTGCTTTTTGATATCTTCTTTCTTCAAGGGGCACCAATTTTCTCAGAGTGGGAGTGTGCCTGTTAAGTAACTAAGAATATTTTAGAGTGATATTTAATTCACAAGTAAATGAAAATCACATATAATTAATATATAGCTAAGTAACAGGAAATTAAAAATGTGTTTGTGACTGGATGAATGTGTTGTTTCCTCAAGTCAGATGATCTTGGGGACACTACAGATCTTTATATTCTACCTGGGGGAGGTGAAGCAGCCCTCTGTGTTTGGGAGATGGAAGAACAGGCTCATGAAGCCATCATAAGAGCGTCCACCAGAGATACCAGTTCCAGGCTTCCACAATGACAAGGGTGCCCAGCAGCACCAGCCAGACACAAACAACCACCTCAGCATGGCGGGTCTACTGAGGAGAAAAGGCGATCAGGTATTGAATTGCTGGCAATGTTTTCAGACATTGGTGTTAGTCTGGACTATGGGGTACTTTCTGCAGATGGTTAATCTGCAGGGCTCTGGAATTCCAGGAACGACAGATACCAGTAGACACTCGATCCAAGACAGACTTAGTCCCATCACTGCGTTAAGTGTTATGTGAACTGTTATCTACATCAAGTTTAGGGACTGAGTAGAAATTTGCACACGAGGTAAGGTCTAAAGGGAAAGCCCAAGAGACAATGCAGAGAGGAGAGAAAAAGGCAGACACAAGAGTCTTGGCCCTCTGAATCCAACAAAGAATTTACGTTCTTGGCAGTTTGGTATTTGGCATGTTTGTGTTTTGATCCGTATTCAGCAGAACAAAGTTGGCAGGAAAGCAGAAATGCTTGCCAGTTGTGTTCAGGGCTGCCTCTGCAACTCTAAAACGGTGCCCAGCACCACAGCGCATTCAGGAAAGCTTTGTCTAATGAACAGTCAAGATTTTATTACGATTTCACTATTCCTCAAAATAAGCCTTTTTAGTAAAAGTATTTTCCAGAGGATATAGATCATCATTTTGAAACATTACCCTTGAAATTGAGTCACATACCCTCTCCCTCCTCTCCTGCCGTTAAGGATCCATATATAGTCACTGTTTGTCAGCATGGTAGGAAATGTAAACAACATTTATCTGTTCTTGCAGTGTTTGGAATACCAGTGTCCTCTGCTTGTGGCTTCATCTTCCTAGATTACTAAAGAAGGTCGTATTCTGTTGTAGGATCCAAGTTCTTGCCTTCATGCTAAAATAAGCTCTTGAATGTGAGCCTTAACATCTCCTACTTATTGGCAGACTTCAGTTAACTTGAGCGTTTTTTTTTTTTTTTTTGGTTTTTCGAGACAGGGTTTCTCTGTGTAGCTTTGCGCCTTTCCTGGAGCTCACTTGGTAGCCCAGGCTGGCCTCGAACTCACAGAGATCCACCTGGCTCTGCCTCCCGAGTGCTGGGATTAAAGGCGTGCGCCACCAACGCCCGGCCTTGAGCGTGTTTTGTGCTGTATATTTAAATGCCTACAGAAAATAACTCCACCAGAATATAATATGCTGATACACTAACAGGCATCAGGAAGGGATACAGGCTAAGATTCAAAAAAGTGTGTATATATCATCAATTTCACTTCAACAGTGAAATTACATTTTCTACATTGAATGCTAACTGGTCAACATGATATGGCCATTGAAAGCAAAAAAAAAAAATTTTTTTTGTTTCTGTATCAGAGGAAAGAAGGGTGGTCAAAGCACCACTCTTCTAGAGGCAATTACAGCATTTAACAGGTACAAAATATATTCACCTTTTGACTTAATATGAGTTAGAATTAACATGACTAGGAAATTTTAATTTTGTATACATTTGTCTGACTTTTAATGAATAATGTCACATTCCTCATATAATATAAAGTTTCTAAACATGTATAAGCATCAATGAGCATTACAGGGCATGTTATTTGCTTATAATTAATTTGGTGAGAAATCTCCATTGCTATACCATACTTTTTAAAAATAAGCTGTCTAATAATCTTCATCAGGTAATGAATGCAATCAAATTAATAAGCAATTGTATAAAAATCACAATTCATAATCAGTCAAAACATTCATATAAACTCCTTGCATCAGTAATTAAGAGCCAAAGGAAGAATTGTGGTAGCAATAGTGACAAACTTTGTTGTTTCTGTCATTGGTTTTGCCTACATCAAAAGTCAGATGGCAGACAAAATGTACTTGATCAACAACATCCTTCATAGACATTGGAGACAATGCACTATTAGCTAAGGACATACTATCAGCAACTGTGGAAAACAATGTAAGAGAAAGCAAGACACCTAAGGAGGCTGACCGCCAGAAATATGTCAAAATGTCATCAGGTTCTATTGAGTCCCATGGTCCTTTCCAGAAGATCAGAAATAAGAATTCTTGATCAATTTTGATGAACATTCTAAATCTAGCCCTGCTAAGGTTCTTCCTTTCTTCTTTCTTTTTATTCTTTGATAGTTTCATACATGTATATAATAAATCTTTGTCATCTTCATCTCCCTTTCCCTTTCTCATCCTTCTGCCTTCCCCATTGAAACCTTTCTTCCTAACAAGTTCTCCTCCTATTTCATTTCCTTTTGTTTTTTATGGATACTGAGAATAATTGCAGTTCACTGCATGGACATTGGTGGGAGGTTATTGGAGCATGAACAACTTATCAGTAGCTATACCACTTCTTCTCCAAGTCACTGGCTACTAATAGTCTGAGCCCATCTCCCTTCCACAATGGAGTGGTGATAGGTCCAATATTGTGCAGGTAATTACAGCTGCGGTGAGTTGATGAGCACCATATCCATGTCACATCTAGAAGACAGCCTTTCCTATCCTTCTGCTCATCATCTGTGTTTTACATCCTCTCCCTTTCCTCTTCCTCCATTTTCTCTGAACCTTGGAGAGGGGATAGACAGAGAATTTTTGACAATGTATTCAAGGTATCTTAATCATATCATCCACTAGCTCATCCTTCCCACTCCCCTTGAACTCCCGAATACCCTATCTATCTATCTATCTATCTATCTATCTATCTATCTATCTATCCATCCATCTACTCTATCTATCATCTACTCTACCTATCTGTCATCTACTCTGTCTATCAATCAAACATATACTCTATCTATCTATCTATCTATCTATCTATCTATCTATCTATCTATCTATGTACCTATCATCTATCTATTTATCTATCTATTTATCTGCCTGTCTATCTATCATCATCTATTCTATGATCTATTTATCTATCTATCTATCTATCTATCTATCTATCTATCTATCTATCTATCTATCTATCTAAATTTCATGTCCTCTTCTTTTTTGTTATAACCCTCTGAATCAAATTACAGCTTCCCCCATGAGCATGGGTGTCAGCCATCTGCCAAGGCATGACAACCTGCCAGTAGCCAAATGTACTATCTGATATTTTAATATACACATACACTAGGTAATGTCCAAATCAGAGAAATCATCTCATTGTCCTTTCTTCTGGATCCTTGAACTCTCCTGTACATCATCGTTATTCAGAGTTAATACGCTATGCTGTGACAGGACAGAGCTTTCTTTTTTCCTTTTTGTTGTTTGTTGTTCTTGTTGTTTTGTTTTCTGTTTTTTGAAACAGGATCTCACTATGTACCCTGGCTGTCCTGGAACTCGCTGTGGAGGTCAGGCTGGCTTCACACTCACAGAAATCTGCCTGCCTCTGCTGCCTGAGCGCTGGGATTAAAGATGTGCACCACCATGTCTAGATACTGCTTGCTTCTTTCTGACTACATTGTACTCATTGACCAGCTTTTCCTCTTCCTTCCCTATCAGGGAAAAGTAAACACAGGTTAAATAGTTGACATAATGGGTCAATACTATCATGACGGTGACTGAAAACAGTTCTAGAATTTTAGACATAATATATGGAAGTATTTATGAATTAAATCATGTGCTATTGAAAAATGACTTAACAGAAATAGTTAAGATTTAAAAGGAATTGATCAGCCATGAATCAATCACTGTTGAATTGAGCAAGAGATATATGGTGTCCACTTACCTTTCTAATGTACATGTTTGAAGTTTGCAAAACAAAAGGTAAGAAAAAATAGCAAGAAATAAATCTATTTTTATCATGACTTGAAAAAAATCCTGAGGGATCCAACTAAGAAGATGGTGCTATGCTGTGTGAAATGAGGAGACAATAAAATGTAATGTCCTTTTCTACAGCATTAGCACTAAGGGGAGAATCTTGGGAAGATTTGCTGGAGTTGGTCAGTTTTTCCTCTGGTCCAATGTTCCAGATTTTTATAAACCATCTGGAGTGCAAAGATTTGGCTGGCTTTTCATCCACTGTAATAATGAGACATTTATTGAGAAAAGATGTCAAACAGAACAGCTTTCCATGAGACCAAATGCATACATTAGCAACCAAAACTCTTAAAGGGAGCCTCAATCAAGTTTACAAAAGGAACAACACAAAATGTGAACAGTGTCCAACTCTGACCAGATGATAAAGTGTAAAACCGACTTCTTACTCTGACAGCATCTTGGTTATAAGGTGATGCTAGAATTTGGCCAACTATTTACTTTTTAGAAATAAAACAGTCTAATAAAAGAACAATAATGTGAATTCCTTTTAAAAGTCAGCAGTGACACAGGAAGAAACAAACCAGCCGACAAAACCACACTTTTCATGGGACTATTTTTAAGGCAGACACAAATAAACAGAATGAATTGCTTTTCTACTTGGCATCCAGGGTTCTGGAGCTTTTTATTTTTTCCACTCATCTCCATGGATCATTCTTTGTGACTTCTAGCATCAGTCCTCTGGTATTATCAAGTGGCAGCACAGCTGGTTGCCTCCTCTCTTCTCACTGTGATCCATTTTCATCACCAGGACAGACCTCCAGCTGCCACAGAATCAGGAACAAGAGGACTGGGAAGGAAGGGGTGCACAAACTTCAGTGCACATTTGGTCCGACAATATGCCGCGCTCCTCCTTCATGAATGTTACATCCATAAGTCTCATGAACAATCTTGTGAAGTATGTAAATATTTATCTAAATTTTATTGGCAGGGAAATTGCAAAATAGTGTTATTTCAGCCTTTCAATTCAACTCAACAAACTTTTACGATGTATTTACTCTTTATAAGGCAAGGCAGATGGCATTCAAAATTCAGGGAATATGGTACAGTACCTGCTCACAGTTTGCTCTGGGCCCCAGAGAACCCAAACCAAGTAGGTACTGACTATAAACTAGTTCATGGTAAGTCTTGATTGCATAAGTGTGAGCAGGCACAGATGATTTCATAGTTTCTGCTAGGGTCAAGAAGACTTGAGAATGGAGAAATGTCCAGCTGGACAGCCGAGAGTGGCCAGAACTTTGAATCTAAGAGGAAAAAGCCAATCAGATTACGCCAACCTCTGGCTTCCTTAAGTCTGTTTAATCAAATGAGCTATTTCCATGATGCACAGTCTCTCTCCATCGCTCCACACATAACAAAAGTTCTGGGGCATTACACGCTCAGGGGAGGTACTACGAACTGCTCTCGGTGCTGAGTTCCACCATTTTGGACAAAACTTTCCATATGTTCCTTCCTAGGTGGAACACGGACGCCTTCTCTGCACTGAGCAGCTTCTTCAGCGTTTATCTCCATAGACTTATGATAGATGAAGACGACTATTCTTCCTGTCGTGTGGTAGTTATTTTGACCCACTTAGTAAGCTTAAGTGCATTCTATAAAATGCTGGGGGAATAATGTGGTAGTGGAAAAGATGATTTTAATATTAGAAAAAAAATAGTTCTTGCTGCCAACTGGATCCCCTAATAAAACTGGAAAGCAAAGCAGTTGGCTAAGAATCCAGGTGAGAACAGTTGGGGGAAGCCGGGCCCCAGTGGAGCCTCCTGTAAGTCTGGTACCAAACAGTGCTGCCAGGACCCACATGTGCATCTCTGGCTCACAGGAAGCAGCGCATGCTTTTGCAAAAAGCCAACGGAAAAAGAGCAAAGAACATTTGACAGCATTTGCATTCCAGTCTCTGGATTTCACAGGCTTGGTTCCATTATTTGGAGTTAAAGTCTGGGTAGTAATTCTTAAGCACTGTCACTAGGGCCAATCACATGATATCATCAAGTGAAACGTGTTTTAAAGTATAATGAGATATTAGTGAAAATGAATCCAAATGCTTAATATGCCTGAGGTTTAAGGCACAGCACAGTTCTGTCAGTTTATTTCCATTTGGTGACCAAATATTAACAGTTTTTCAATACTATGGCAGGAAAAAAAAATTGAGCAAGAGTAACTTCAAAGCTTGAGATTTTCCTGCTCTTCTTAGATGGGTTCTGCAGTCCTGACTGCTGTGTTCCTGAGCTCAGGTCCCAGCCACTGAAGGGGGTGGCTCCTTGCATGCGCCAGCATTAGGTGTTGAGGTGTGAGTTCCCAGCCTTGTTCCCTGGCGTGTGCAGATCAGAGCTGGGAAGACAGCCTGCATTCAGTTTAAGGGTGGGTGACAATCATGGCTGGGGGGTGTGGGGACAAGGAGCCAAAGGAAACAGAAAGCTCAGACAGCTAATAAAGGTGAAGGCCTAAGGAGATGGTGGAGGAAGGACTGGGGAGATTGCTGAGGTAAGAACAAATGTTGGGTTTTCATGCCACTTCAGGACTAGTGTGGGTGCACTGAGCTTTTATAACTACGAGCGACAAAATTACTCTGCTAACCATGATTTAGGCACCAGTTGCACGAGACACATACTCTAGACCTAGGTAGAATTCTGCATTGGCTTAGCTTTCCATCTGGACAGGGCTCCAGGTCTTCCACGTCAAAGGCCTTCTGGACGTTTCTCTCACGACTGCAGATTACTATAGCAGCAAGCCTTGTCATCACATCACTTTGTGCTCAAAGTCAGGAATTCTTCAGGGCACAAAATGCAGCCCATATTTCCCTCAAGTTGGGCAAGAGTGAAACCTTCCCCCAAACTGTATAACTCACCTACCAAATCAAGGTCTTGGGTGACTTGGGTGCTTTGCTCACATTGCCCCACCCCTTGCTCACTGATCTCTAGTATCACCATCCTGCTTGAGAACGAATAAAAAGCTGACCACGAAGAACATGAGGATTGAGGGTTTAGAGATGATGCTAAGAATGAATAAACCTACACCTTCTGTGGTGGGATTATGCTCATGTGCTCTCCAGTTCCCCCTGGGAAACAGGATGGAGCTACAGGAGATTCTCTCTCACAGGGAGAACTGAACTGTATCTAGGAAAACTTTACCCACCAGGATCGGTTAGGTAAGAATACTTGGCTGAGATTTATCCAGAATGTCCAAAACAATGAGGCTAAAATTTTTGGTTGGGGAAGATTTCAAGTATCAGATCTGGTAATTGAGACTAGATCCCAATCAAGAATATTAACTAGCGTTTGAAGTGTGAAGCATGTGGTAGATTAGATCAAGTGGTTAATAAAATGTTTCAATAGTTTTTTTCTTAATAACAATGTATAAGGCAATATTTCATTTAATTGTTGTGTCACACATTATTTCACTTAAATTCTCACACTCTGAGGTGGGTAGCACAGATGGCCCAAATGACAAGTGACAAAACCGAGGCTTAGGAAAATGTTAGGAGCTTTCCAGTAGCAGATAAGTGATGGAGCTAAGACTCAAATGCAAGCAACTGAGTTCAGTGATCATAACTTGGATTGCTGTGACCAAGACCTTCCCAATATTCAGAAATACTAAAACACCGATGGGTGACATACTGGCGTGTGTGTGTGTGTGTGTGTGTGTGTGTGTGTGTGTGTGTGTGTGTGAATGTCAGGTGTCTTCAGGTGCTGTCCCCTTTATTTTTGAGATGGGGTCTCTCACCAAACCTTAAGTTCATTGGTTTGAGTAGCCTGGCTGGCCAGTGAGCTGTTGGTTTCTGACGAGCTCCACCTCTTAGCTCTGGGATTATATATGCATGCCACCACATCTGGTTCTCTCTCTCTCTCTCTCTCTCTCTCTCTCTCTCTCTCTCTCTCTCTCTCAATTAATTAAAGTCTTAGGATCCATATCCAGGTCCTTGAATTTGCAAAGCAAGCATGCTATTAGCTGAGCTATCTTGAGCCTAGGAGTATTTAAACATTTGGGTTACTAGATCACTCATATTTATTTCCATTTGGGTTTAGGAGTGTCCTGGTTCATTGATACTCAGTATCTCTTGATCATAATTGAGAAAATGGAAACTACACAGCTTTGGCTGTCTCCATTGACCCACACAACACAGAAGGAATGTTTCATTTCATGCCTAACGTCCTCTTCATCTGGAAACACTGCTACCCCATTGCCAGTCTCCTGGAACATAGTTCTCATTCTCATTCCTTGGCTCAGTCCATATTTGATTTTGGCTTGTAGACTGCTGTCCTGCCTTCACTGTCCCCAGCTTTTCTCCACTGTGGGTTTTATCAACAATAACAAATATGAGACCTTACAAGTGAGACCAAATTTATCAATTTTCACAGCTTCATTTCATTCTTCAGATCACCTTTTCATATTTAAAATGGCAGGCTCATTTTCCCGTGCCTCCAAATACCACAAGTGGTGACTGGCCAGAACCTCCTCCCCACCGATCTTTGGGTGAAATGGCAGGGCATCCCATTGCTGCTGCTCAGATTAAGAGTCATACCTAAGACTTCTGGGAAATGATAAGAATTCTACTTTTGAGTTTTATCTGTATATTACAGATAATGTGGGTTTTTTCCTGTTCCATTAAGATAGGTACTAAAGTTTTTAGATGTTTCACATTCATTCTAACAAATAGAAGAATTGGTGCTTCAAGCATACTCAGTAGCCACAGAGTGAACCTATAAAGACCAGGTAACCTGTCAGTGCTCTATATTTCTGATGCTCTGAATACTGGGAAGGGCATAGTCTCGGTGATCAGAGTTATGATTAGTGAAATCACTTGCCTGCATTTGATTCTTAGCTGCATCACTTAATGGTCATGTGACACTAGGAACCTCCTAAAACATAAATATGAGAACAGTTGCACAGTGCTCAGAAACTTCCATTTCAAAGAAAACAATTGGCCTTTGTATAACTGAGGCATCTAGAAATATGTAACACCAAGGCTGTTTTGATCATGTCCCTTCACAGTTGGCTGATAGGTCATGGAAATACACACACGCACACACACACGCGCACACACACACACACACACACACACGGGGGGGGGGGCAATACACCCTTCCATCAAAAATGTTGGTTGCAAAAGATTCAGGGAATCCATTCCTTAGAGGGCATCTTCAGGGGAAGTAAAACTGACACCAGAGGTATAGCTTCATACCCAATGTCTGGCCTGTGCCAAGGAAGATTCCCTTCTGGTGACTTAACAGCTCAATATCTCAGGTTCCCATTTTCAGAGTGCTCCCACTGGGGCTTGCCAGTTTCCCAGAATTCAAATGCCCACATGGGGCAGCATAGATGCAATGTTGAGCACCAGGAATCCTGGATTCCCATCTGACATCTATGTAAAGTATCAGAATATACAGAGCACTGTATCTCCTTGATGACATAGTGTTTTGCATTTCTGGGAAGCTGAAGAAGATGGAGAATGTGCTGTAAGGAAACCATGAGGTATACACCAAATGAGGAAGAAGGACTTTAGGACTGATAACAATCAACAGTGGTCACTAACAACAATTATTTTAAGGTTTTAAAATTTACAGCATCTTGTTTTTTCAGAAGAAAATTTACTCAGAAAATACTAGTCATGAACTAAAAAAAAAAGAAAAAGCCTTTATTTATTTAGATTTTAGTCACATTTAAAAGAACAGGGTTTAGGTTAAGGTCTCCCTGCTTGTGGATCCCAGGGTTGCTACCAATATGGTCTACTTGGCTATAACTCTTCCTGTCCTCTCAATCCTTGCTATTCTCTAATGTGGGAATAGAATAGTTCCCTGACTTCAGGCTTGACCTGTGGCTTTTAGTGACTCTGGAATGTCTGTGGAAAGAGACAATCTGCCAGCTTCCCATTATG